ATCTGTTTGAAAAACGGCAAAATAAAATTACATTTTAGAACGCAAGCCGAGGATTTATTTTCTTGTTATGTAGGCAAGTCTATCGATTCATTATAAACATTCAAGATAAATATCGACATTTATTTTGATATAGTTGAGTCAATCCCTACCGTACATGTAAAATATTTTGTATAAAAATATATTTATCAAATTCATGCAAATCATCAACAACGTGACTTTTTTTTTGTAAAATATCAAAACAAACAAAATGATTGAAAACGTTCTATATTTTAAACAGTATATAACATAAATTTTAACCAAAAATAAACGCTACATAACATTGACGACGTCTTGAGAATTTACCTGTGAAATGTGCAATTATAGAAAGAAAGAAAGAAAATAAACTTTATTGGCACAGCGATGCATGCACATTTACAAATGGTTAACAGACATTAATACTGTGCCAAAACAGGTTTCCGCTCAGCATTTGTCATGACATGCTCCTGGAGCATGTCAAGACGCTGGTCTTCCGCGGACACCTATTGCTGGCATTGCGCATCCTTTCCAGAAGACACTAATTTAAAATTCAGTGATTATTATATAAAATGTGTTTATGTGACTTGGGTCTCTCGAAAGGGTGCACAATACGGGGACGCTTTGATAGTTTTCATCATGGTTGTCAAAAAAACAATGCTAAATAAAACAAAAGAGATAATACAAGGTTAAAATATTTCTAACAGTGATCGAAATTAACCGGAATTTTGAAATAAACAAACAAAAATATTCCCTTAAATTACATTACATTACATCACATTACATCACATTACATCACATTACATTACACTACATCACATCACTGAAATCTAAACAATAATAAGTCGTAAAAAAGCGCGTGACCTTCAATCAATCAATCAATCAATCTTTATTTGCCAACCAAGTGTACATAAATGGTCTTATAATAATAAAAATGTGTCTCAACTTAGTAGCCTTTTTCAGGCATTGCAAATTTGAGAAAGGAAAATAAAATAAGTTATTAAATACAAACATTATAGAGTAATTACATTAATGAATTAATAATATAGTAAATAATTTAACAGTATTTTATTAATTTATTATATTAAGGCATTCATGACATTTTATATCAACACAATATTTATTCTTCTACTGATACTGTCCATAATAATTTTTGTGTATCAAAACTGCTTTTTCCTTTTTTTATGTATTTCTGTTGACTTAATGTTTAGGTATATTAGTTCTGTCATTTGTGTAAAAGATATGTAATTTGTTATTCGTATTTTGCTTCAATGTATTCTTTGACTGAGTATAAACATTTTTCTGTTAAGAATGTTTTTAGTTTATTAATGAAAAGTGTAATCTTATTTTCAGTTTTTATGTGGATAGGTAATTTATTGTATATTTTTATAGCCATATAGTATGGACTGGTTTAGCATTTTTATTCTTGACGGTGGTAGGTACAGTCTGTCTCTGTGGCGTGTGTTTAAATTGTGATTGTCTTTTACTTTTGTGAAGTGATTTATGTTCTTAAATACAAATATGTATAATGATAGTAGTGTGAGGATGTTATTTTTAATGAAATAGGGTTTGCAACTGTCAAGATTTTCAATTTGGCCGATGATTCTAATACATTTCTTTTGCAGTATAAATAGTCCTGAAAGTGTACACTATTTCCCCACAAAATAATGCCGTATCTTAACTAGGAGTATGCATATGCGTAGTATGCTGACAGTGCGGTTTTTTCGTTTGTGCTGCATTTAATATGGAATAGAGCGTATGTGAATTGAGATTTTTTAAATTTGTTCGATGTGTGGTTTCCAGTTGACGTGCGTGTCTATAGTTATACCAAGTAATTTGAATGTATTTACGGTTTCTAGTTGTGTGTTGTTGTATGTTGTGTCGATGTTTATGGGGCTGTTTTTGTATGTTCTAAATTGGATGGTTTTTGTTTTATTATAGTTAATTTATAAGTTGTGGTCGTTGAGCCAGCAAGATACTGTGTCTAGAGTTTCTCGAGGTATTTGTGTTGGGTTTTTGGTTTTGTCATAAGCAATCAATATTGATATATCATCAGCGAATAAGACGGGCATGTTCTTTATTTAGTACTTTTGGCAAGTCGTTAATGTATATCAGAAATAGCACACAACCTAACGCTGCCCTGTGGAATTGAACATTTTGTGCTCCTTTTCTCAGATCTCACTATTTTAACCTCATTTGTGTTGGAGTCGAAATGGTCAATTTGCACTATTTGTGACCTATTTTCCAAATATGATTTAAACCATGTGTAAGCTGGACCGCCGTTCTGGGATACCAGAACCGTGCAGTTTATGTTAAAGAATGTCGTACAGTACTTTATCATATGCTTTCGTCATGTCAATTAATATTCCCAGTACATGTTTCTTGTCATTTATATGTTTTAGGGCAGTCTGGATATACTTATATACTGCTAGTGTAGTTGATCTTGATTTCCTAAAGCCGTTTTGGCTGTCATCGAGGATGTTATATTTTTCTAAAAAATCATATAATCTGATACACATTGTTTTTTCAAACACTTTCGAAAACGTGGGTAATAGAGCTATAGATCTATAGTTACTAGGCGTGTAAGTGTCGCACTTTTTGTGTATCGGTTTGATCAATGATATTTTTAGGGGGTCTGGAAATTGGCCATCTCGGAGACTTTGATTTACTAGGAATGTGAGCGGTATTGACAGTTTTTCTGCACATTGTTTTAGTAGAATTGGAGGGATTTCATCTATGCCGTAGCTATGTGTATTTTTAATTGAGCGGATTATGTCGATTATTTCTTTTCTGTCTACAGGACGCAAGTACATGGAGCACATTTGTGATTTTACGACGGGTCGACCTAGCGCGTTGTTTTTGTTGGTGTTATTGGTGCCCATACCGACAGTAGCAAAATACTCACTGAAATGATTGCAAATAGTTTTTGGGCATTTTATAATGTGGTTGTTAATTTTTAATGAAATATTTTGTAGAGGGAGTCTTTTTTTTGGTTCACCTGTTTTTTCTCTTATGATATTTCACATTGTTTTTGTTTTATTATCGGAGTTTCTCATTTGTTTACTAAATTCGAGTTTTTTAGATATTTTTACACTACGTTTTAGAGTTCGGCTAATTTTTTTATAAAATTGACGTAATATATTATTGTCAGTCACATTTAGGAAGACCCTTAATTTTCTTTTATGTGCACATGATATCTAAGACCGGTGGTGAGCCATCCTTTTTTTGGTTTATTATTTATTTTTAACTTTTGCATCGGTATATGTACGAGTTAAGTAATTTAGTCAGTATACTGATAAATAAATTATAATTGGTCCTTAAATTGTTGCTTGTCGCCGCACATGTGACTCTTAGGCCACAAATTCGCGAAGAACGTTTTTTCGGTAACCTGTGTTGTTATGGACGGCGAGACGAAATAATGATGTTTGCAGCATATCCAACTGCGAAAATTCTTCCACAAGTTGTAACTTTCAAATAAAGGGATAACATTTCATAAGTAAGTACTTAGTGTTTTAAATAATGTTATTTTAAATGAAAGAAATGTAAATAAAATTATTCACCTCCCAGTACTACGATAGTCTCCGAAAATGAAATTGTTTTCACACTACAATATCCATAGATTTTTAAGATAGTTCATGTCTACGGGTACGACTGCTAAAAGCAGCGATGGATTTATAGTATGGGCAATAAACAATATTGTGGCGTACGTGATTTCCGAGAACTCGTCCGTAGAAGTCGAGCGCGAGTCAGTGACGTGACACTATTATTTTGTATCGATATTTTATTATGTTTGGCATACCTAGTTTTACCGAAATGGGAATGAAATGTGAATTTTTATTTAACATTTATTAACACTTCAATTTTTCTTTTTAAATATTTTTACCGTTTATCAGCGATCATCTGTTTGTTAGTACTTAAAAAAAAAACTTAATAAATTTTTATGCAGTTTTAATAAATTGTAAGGATAAGTAATTATATTGTAAGCATGGTAGACTAAATTCGATCTGTAAGAAGCCGGGTAACTGAAAAATAGCAAACAACATAAAGTAACTAACTTTCTGACTAACTGAGATCTTTAAAACTATTAAAAAATAATAAATATGTTACCCAGACATATATTTATTTGTTTTCTGTTTGTGTAATGTTGTATTCATGTAATGTAATTGCTTTTTAAAATAATGTAAAAAATGTATGTGTAATTAATTGAAAAGGTTTATACTTATCCTTAACGTTTCATTATATTCCCTTTTCTCTAATTATAAAAGGTGTAAAAGCTTAAGCTAAGACGAAAAGTTCTATTACTGAGACAATTTCAATTAATTAGTTATCTCTTAATATAAAGTTATCAAAACGTATGTTGCGCTGCACTATGCCCAAGTGAGAGTGAGCGCGCAATGTCATTCTCTGTATTTGTCACACGTTAATTATTGGCCCGAGTGGCAACGCCTCTTGAGATTTTGCTTTTTTTAAAATATATCTTAACGCTACAGTTTATAGTTTAATCTTTGTTGCATGAATTTTAGAGATATCTGTAGGCGTAATTGTGTAATTGTGTATTATCGGGATTATTTCTATTATTAACACCACAATCACTTACTGAATAAGTAAGCATTTTGGAAAAAGTTACTCACTAAAAATAAACTTTAACTAACTTTCACTTTAAAAAATTACTAAATATCTAGGAGCTATTTCTTGCGTGATGAATTGCGCCGATCTGTCATTCAAAATCGGTTTCAGAGCCATGAGAAATTTGTATCCTTTTCTATCTTGCTTTTTTGCCATAAGGAATTTTCTTCTCCCTTGCACACTATGTTGGTCTATACGCCAGTATATTCTAAGTCTATGCTTACAACCACTTTTTCAGATTGGACTCGCAATGTAAAATATAATTATTGAACATAATATTACGAAACTACCATAGACATATTTTATACTACGATGGAAAATACTGATTCGGAACGTATGTTATGTCATGTCATTGTCATGTCAGATTAGCGCTGTGGTGTACCAAGTTACTTTAATAAAAACACAATGTCAGGATCAAAAAAGATGGTAAATAATTGTTTTAAGAAATATTCAAATGCAAAATATTAATAGGATGGCTATCATTACGTACGCCTGTTTCTTTATAATGTAAATTATTTGTACCATTGGTCTTGAATACAATTTTTTCTTTGGTTCTTCGTGTCAACATTTTGAATTTTCATATTTACCTCGAGTAGCTTACGTACGTTTTACTATTTTGATTTAGATCCAAGCGAATGGAAATTCTGTCCCTTATGTCCTGGATCCTTGAGGTTTTATTTAAAAAATAATGACTCAGCAATTTTAATTTGATATTATGTGTTGACAATCTTTATGACAACAATCATACTTCATATGAATAATAAGAGAGTAATTTCGTTACAGACGCTGCGTGTGCAGTCACCAGAGGGAACTTCACGCATAGAGGTGTTTGACACAGATGTAACGGCACGGCTGTATGAGCGTGTGTACGAAGTTCTAAACCTCAATACATTTGGATTTGCGTTGCACCGTGACCGTCAGCGCAAAGAAGAAATAATTTCGAGCAAGTCACGGCAACTCCGAGAATATGGCCTACAGCACGGTGATATGCTGTATCTCAGTCCAGTTAATGGTGCAGTGTTGTATGATCAACCTTCAACTAGTGTACAGGCACAGGTAGATTTTTATATCTATAGAAATTTTACCCAATCATAGCTTTAATAATTCATCATAACTTATTTTTTAAACTATAAATAAACCTAAATTTAAATTGACTCCCAAAGCAAAGGCTTAAAAACAGCACTCTTCTCATATTCTTACTTGTTTTAAAAATAAATAGTGCAGTACATACAATGAATAGCATTTATTTATTTTTTCCAGTCTAATACTAAACAGTTTGGAGAAACAATGGAAACAGCACCATTAGTGTCAGTAGCCACAACATCATTGTCACAGAAGCCTGGTGTTCCTGAAGAAGATGAGGTAGACTTGGAGCTCTACAAGTTACCAGGGACCATCCAGCGGCAACGTGATGAAAAATTGTAATTAATTTATTCTTCATATTTTTCCCTATTATTTAACTATTGTGTCTACATATATTGTGGTCAGGGAAAATATTAAAATACTTTGATATTGAGTTTAGGTAGTCTTCCTTCCATAAAAATAATCAACTAGGTACTTAACATATCAAACAGGTATACTTAATTTTTGCCTTCTAAAAAGTTACTAGATAATTAGAATATAACATGTTATCATCAATCTAATTCCTCATAGTTTTCTTCTTTATGATCATTATCATTTTTCTTCTTATTTATGGCATTCTTGATGCATTGTTCAATGTCAGTGTGAAGGTATTTGATAATTAGAATATATCAGCAGACACAGATACAATGTCCATGTTGATGCAAAAGAAGATGATAATAAGTTATCTTATACTTATAAGTTTATTAATTTTTCTAAAGAAGTCAAGCCGACTTCTGAACATAGGCCCTTATAGATTGCCTCAAAGAAATGCCCTGAGTCACTTGCATCCTTCAACTTCTTGCTGTTTGTCAACAACAAAGTTTTCTGATTGACAAATTGTCGTATCGTTCTTTAATATATATTTGTTTATCATTTCTTTGGCATGGTCTTCTTGATTTGTGTTCTTGTTGAACAGGTGTCGCCACAACTCTAATGGCTGTTGTGTACACTGTTCACCTCTGGAGCCTTGGGATGAGGGTTACCTGAAGGAACACAACATTAAACATATGTCCTTCCATTCCTATCTACGCAAGATTACATCAGGAAAATTTATATCGTTGGATGAACTCTCATGCAAAATTAAGCCAGGTATTTAGCTTTTATTAACTTATGTAAAATTTCTTGTGGTAGTAGCTGCATCTTGATAGTGGTTGAAGTTTGTAGCAGGAGCTTATTTCAAGGAAAGTAATAGTTACAAGAATTACAAATAACCTATTTTTTCATACTTACTTTTGTATTTAAAGTGCTGTAAGAATTGCTGGCAATATTGTATAGGTTACAATATAACCAAGAAATTTTAAATTTAATATATCTCTATAAATTGAATACATATAATAAAAAATAAAATACGTATTTAAAGAGCATTACCTGGTGATAATTTAAAAGAAATGAAGTAAATATTAAATAAAACAATGGTTATGTATTTTTAAATTCCTTTATTTTTTCTTCACATATAAAAGTTTTGACTATATACTAGAAATTTCTCCTGTATAATGAATGTTGATATGAACAATACAAATACATGTTCCATGTAGTAACTACATGCAGCTACCAAACCTTATTCAATGGTTTAGCAAGATTTATTTTTCTTGAACAAGGATGACAAAAGAGCACACGGTCCACTTGATGGTAAGTGGTTACTGTAGCCCATAGACATGTAATGTAGATGTCTTCAATTAAGAATCAAAATGCAGATGCATTGTCACCCCTGAGGACTAATTATGTCTTGTTTCCATTAATAAGGGTCTCTGATTCCCTACACTCACCATGTCAAAAACAGCAACATTAAGGTGCTATTTAACATTGGTATTTTGTGAGAGCATGGTCCCATACCGGTTGAGCCGACAACAATAATATAACTGCAGCATGACTCTACGACATACAAAAGACGTTAAATTTATTTTTTTACGGTTTGTACAGTCAGCATCAATAGGAAGGTAGCAGAAAAAATGATCAAATATTTTGAATCATCTAAAGTGATCATTAATATTCAATCAAAAGTAAATTCTATGGTTAGTAAACGTCAGTTATATGGTTTCAGTAAAAATGCCCTTATTGTAGTAACAAACAAAATGTCAATGATATTGGAGCAGCTAAAGTACTTGTAATTGCTGGGCACAACAAGAAAAATAACTATCTTTATACAATAGGGCATTATTTTGTGCTAAGTTTTATTATAAAAAGTATAAATTATACTTCTTATGAAATTATGTTATTAAGGTTCCTTTTAATAAAACTCAATATTATTATTTCACCTACTCTTATTTAGTACATGACGTCATTGACATTTCATTCAATATATTATTTGAAAACTATTTATAACAATGTAATGGAATATATAGTATATTAATTATAGTATATTCAACTCGGCTGGGCAGCGTTCAGGAAGCTACGACACATCTTCTCGTCAGACATACCTCAAAACCTTAAAACGAAATTGTACAACCAGTGCGTGTTGCCAGTGATGACTTACGGAACTGAGACGTGGTCCTTCACTGCTGGCCGTATGAGGAAGCTCAAGGTCGCTCAGCGAGCTATGGAGAGGGCTATGCTCGGAGTTTCTCTGCGTGATAAACTTAGGAATGAGGATATCCGCAGTAGAACCAGAGTGACCGACATAGCCCAACGGATTAGTAAGCTGAAGTGGCAGTGGGCCGGCCATATAGCTCGAAGAACCGACAACCGATGGGGAAGAAAGGTTCTCGAGTGGCAGCCTCGTACCGGTAGGCGAAGTGTAGGGCGTCCCCCCACGAGATGGAGTGACGACCTGGTAAGACATGCAGGAAGTCGATGGATGCAGGTGGCTCAGGACCGTGTTTTGTGGCATTCTTTGGGGGAGGCCTATGTTCAGCAGTGGACTTGTGAAGGGCTGTAATGATGATGATGATGATGAATGGAATATAATGAAATTTTGGATCTCAACACTTTATTCATTTATTCGCATGGACTAATAAGCTCCAAAAAATTTTTACAATAGTTAATTTGGTATTTTTGCACCAACTATGGATACTCATAAAAAAGATGCTAAGACGAGTAAAATAAGTTTATTTGTGGTTGGATTTTCCTTAAGTATCAAAGAAATTAAATAATTTTCAATCCTTTAAACAGAGTATTTCTTACCTATCTTCGTCTTGATGTGGATCTCCAAGGAAAAAAGATTGAAGGTGAGAAAGTGAAAGTAGAAAAACTAAAAACTTTAATGAATGTAGAGGAATTAAAATTTTCCTCTACATTCATACATAAATACAAGTCGTATATTGTGTAGAAATACACAACAAAACTAAAAACTTCTGTGATTTAACAAAGTGGACAAACACTTTCAGCGGTATTCTGCTATTTGTTTAGCAACAAAATGTCTAAACACTGCTAATGAATACAGTAATGCGAAAGTTTTTATTTAAATAAGTAATTTTCTTAGGCGAAAATGTATTTTGCTCATCTGCTTTTTGTGTATATCATGGTCGACTAACGTATGGATAATATCAGATACGATGAGAATAATTTTTTATTAATATATAACAGAAGTGGATGAATCACTTTGGGATCGAGTGCTAAAATGATCTAGGAAGACTGGGTGATTAACTGGGCAGCCCGTATAAAGAAGTTATTGATATTGTGCTACTGTCTGAGGCAAGAGGGTTTTATCATAAGTGTTTTATGCAATAAAATAAAGTTATTTTGATGTATGCAACTGCTGTAAAAGTGAATTAAATTTCAGACCATATACAAGTACTTCACACTGCTAGGCGCAGGCCTATTCTCATTGAGAGTTATGAAGCTATTTGTTCTGCCGTTCCACCGCTCAGCTCTAGTGCGTGTTTTCTCTCTTTGTTTACCTTTACCTAAAATTGCAATTAACAATTTCATTGTTACCGGCGGCCAATGGATCCTGGAAATTATTTTTTCTGCTTAAACGTAAATCAAGTAGAGAAGTAGAGAAAGCAGTATAACTTTGGAGAAGTAAGATCTAGAGCACATTTAAGTTGCACTTTAAAGATCATCCTAAAAACAGTGCGATGGATGCGTAATTAAGTGACGTTATTGCTGCTGATGGCAGATGAATTCGTTTCGATTATATGTTATTGTTAACTTATATTTTTATGTAAATAATACTATTTTAATTATCACATTTCAAAGCGCGAAAGATTTCTTTTATTTATTTCAAATTATCTTATTATTAACTCGTCTTTTATTGTGGAGAGGTAGCTCTATATTTTATTACGGAAAGGTAAACCTTTTATAGCTCAAACGAATAGTTTTTATCACCACAAATATACCGCACTTATTGTTTATTTGTATGTTGCGATAAACATAATAATGATATGTTTAAGACCACTGCACTTTGGACCGTCATTAAAATTGAAAAACAAACGAAAGAATATTTGGGTTGACTCTAGACGTCTGTTACTTGATTTTAATTATGTTTTCAGTATAGGAGGATTATCAGGGTCAAGCTTGAACCTTTTATGCTCTTTTTGGATGTTGTAAATGGGTTTTGAATTAATTACGATAAAAATAAATTTTACTAAAAATTGCTTATTACGAAACGCAAATATGTCAATTTGGTCTAGTATTGTGAAGTATACGTCCAGTACTTGATTTTAATTATGTTATTAGTTTAGGAGGTTAGTCAGGGTTAAGCTTGAACCTTTTACACTCTTTTTGGATTTCGGAAATGTGTTTTGAATTAATTGCGATAAAAATAAATTTCACTAACTAAAAATTGCATATGACAAAACGGGTTACCCATAAAAAAGTTAATTACTCTTGTTATTTGGAGGTAGCCGTGGTTAACTATGATATTGGGACGTCATACACCTCAGTTCCCTCTGTGACCATGTGTGCATGGGTGTGCTAATATACGCGATAAATTCCGTAAAACTAGTTTTATTTAAATGTGTAGTGTTCGCGTAAATATAAGAAATCATTAATTACTCTGACCCAAACAATCCATTTGTGACTGAAAATGGGACTCATACACAACGAATTAAGTCGCAGTGGAGAGCAGTCAAGAGGTTTTACATAAAACAAAATCATAAGAATTTACATAACAATGTTTCATTTACCATTATCGTAGTAGAGTTTAGGGCAACCTGACTTTATAGATAAGATAGCTCAAATTAAGTTCAAGCCAAAATAGCACGTAGATGACAGATATTTTCGGACTTACATAACGTCGTTATATTTTGACCAATTTACACGATATCTTTATGAGTTACAGCTTATGTGTTATTCTGATGTATGATCTATATTATTGTAAAGTTTCATTAAAATCCATTCAGAAGTATTTGCGTAAAAGAGTAACAAACATCCATAAATCCTCACAAACTTTCACATCTATAATATTAGTAGAATTCGTTGGATATAAGTAGGATATTTTAAGCATACAATTTGGATTTTGAAATCATTTAAAATTCAACCTTATGATATTGTCATAAAATTTCTCCTAAAGCGGGGGTCGGCAAAACTGTGACCGCTGAATATGAATCATAAAAGGCTCAGGTGAAAAGTTGGAAAGAGTTCTGTGGTAGACAAGACAGGGAAGGGTTATGGGACGGGGTATATCGGGTAATCGGCAGAACTACAAAAGGGCACGAAGATCTGCCTCTTTTCAAAAACGGAAAAATACTCGATAATACCGAATCGGCAAAGATGTTGGCCGAGACCTTCTATCCGAAAGACCAAGTTGAGGCTGATAACGCAGAACACCAGTGTATCAGGGAGCTAGCAGAAAAAGTGAATGAAGGGACACAAGATAATTCTCGTGACCCACCATTTACAGACGCAGAGCTAAAACACGCACACACACACATACACAAAACACCAACATGCTATTCTCCATAACCCAGAACTTTACCTGAGCCTAGCTAACAAGTGTTTGGAGCTAGGACACTTTCCCACAGTATGGAAAAAAGCGGTAGTAGTAGTTTTGAGAAAACCAGGGAAAGAAGACTATACGCACCCCAATATATATATTATAGACCGATAGGCTTGCTACCAGTTATGGGTAAAATCCTGGAGAAAATATCAGAAGGATAAGGTGGCACATCCAACCTGGGGGGAGTACTCGCTAATACGGTTTCACGCCA